GTATCTGAAAGAACTATTTATTATTTTGAAATAGTAATCTGATAATACTACACTAAATGAAATGAAAAAGTTCATGGATTTCCCCTAACAATAGACTCTAAGGCAAATCTTGATCTGGCCCATTATAGCTGCAGTTGCAAAACTCCAAAGTACCATAAGATTGCTAATGAATTCACAGACTGTTTTATGTGCTCTAGGATTGACAAATAGAAAGCCATATTAGGAAATCTATCCAATCAAAGTTATATAATCACAATAAAAAAGGTGACTTTCAACTTTCAAAGTCTAAGAAACAATTTAATGTAGAAGACATTAAGATTCTTGAAACATTTCTAGCAGTCCCCAAAATACATATTTCTACTAATTAGTTCACTGTTTTGACTGGTGAATTATAAATAAGCATTACATTCATATCTTGTTTCCAGTTCTGAAGGATTAGGAGAGTTTGGTGGACCATTTTATTCATGGATATATTGGGTCATTTCCACTATGCTGGTCATTAAGCATGATTGCCTATGTCTCCTGTACTGGATATATGCTCATACTTTGTGTCCCAAGCTACTACAAATAGGCAGAAGAGAAATCTAATCAGTTTTAAGTTGCTTATGTAGTTTTTCCAATATGCTGTAAATGGATTCCCTGCTAGTTTCTACATTTTCTTATTTCTAACTCTCAGATATATATCAAAAGAATTAACATTTAAAAGAAATTTGAATTGAACTCAGTTCAACCTGCTAAATAATGCATCGTGGCCTTTTAGTACTCCAGATAAAAGCAACTACATGATACCGATATTTAATTAGAAAACTTAAAATTTTAGATAGATTATATATATTTCCTTTAACTTTAAAAATCTTTGTTGTTCTCACATTGACATGTTATTTGTAGTCATTTAACCCCATCTCTAACAACTACCTCTGGAAGAACTACAGAGCAAGAACAGATGCACCCAGCAAATGCCCTGATGTCCTCATTCTTCAAAGAAAATATTAGGCTTAGAATATTGCACGTTGTAAGGGAGAAGGACATATTAACATATATAGGAATATTTATCACTAGAAAAGGAGTATTTTTCCTTCCTTTAGTTGGTCTTAAGATAATGAAAGTTTTCAATTAATTAGAATTCTCCAGTGCTTTTGAATCTTCTTATTATTTGAAGCTTTATGGTATTTTACTAAACCTAAAGACACAGACTTCCTTTCTAAATACACCTAAAGTCTGCTTTTCCCCAAATGTTACCATAAATGTTCTAGAAGGGTCAGATATTTTAAAAGCTTACTTCCTATTTTTTCTCTTAGGCCAGACAGTTGCTTTAGGCATAACTTATGTGTCTTTAATTCAAAAGTATAAAAGAGTTATATTCACTTTATGATCTTCTTTTATAATAAATGTCTTTAAAGTTCTCATTGCAAATTATTTTAAGAGATTTTCCATTTTAGTAAAAAGCTCAACCTACTCTGTTAGTAAAGTCATCAAGATTAGAAAGTTTTGGATATATATTTTTTTCTGCACGATTTCCCAAGATTTTAAAACATAATTTGTTCAATAGGTTTAGGATTTTACCTTTTCTTTCAAAAGTTAAAAAAAAGTTTGCACTTTTTCTTCATTTAAAAAGAAATCATTATTTTATCAGAGAAGGTTAATTAGAAATAGAGTAGTATATTTCTTGAATTTGGATATTTTAATATCACTGTGGTTTCAGTTAACAATAAATAAAACTATGGCAGAGTAAACAAGCCAAGTGACAGTTTTTTGAGGAACTTAATTTGGATTTCTCTATTAATAGAATTTATTGTCAAGGGAAATTGCATGGAAATGGAAGGAGACCCTCAGGGTTATACAAAATTACATACAAGAGGAAGTGAGGGGAAAGGGAAAAATAACACAAAGGGGAGGAATGAATTACAGTAGAGGGGGTAGAGAGAGAAGAGGGGAGGGGAAGGGAGGGGAGGGGATAGCAGAGGATAGGAAAGGCAGCAGAATACAACAGACATGAGTATGTCAATATGTAAATCAATGGAAGTGTAACTGATGTGATTCTGCAATCTGTATACGGGGTAAAAATGGGAGTTCATAACCCACTTGAATCAAAGTGTGAAATATGATATATCAAGAACTATGTAATGTTTTGAACAACCAACAATTAAAAAAAAGAATTTATTGTCTAGTTAGGTCTCTTTTAATTATTATGGTAAAATTTTACTTGTTTATTTGTTTTCAGTTTAAACCCTATAAAGTTTTATGATTTTCTTTTGGAGTCACATCATGACAGGGAATGTTCTGAGATCTGCAGGATCCTGTTTCATTTCTTCCCTATCCCATGGCTCCCCCTTGCCAGGTCTGGGCACCACTCACCATGTGGATTAAGGCTGCATAGATCAAATTACCCTGGTTTTGTTTTCTGTAGAAAAAAAAAATTCATTTGGAATTCCCTCTCCTTCCTACCTGGTGAATTCTGCTAATTCTTCCAGATTCAGCTCAATAGCCACCTTTTCTTTATTGAAGTCTGAACTTCGATCTCCTTGGTGTTAGATGTTGGGTCTCATTCTATTTAGTGTTGCCACACACACAAGATCTTCTGGGGTATAGATGGTAAAATGAAGGATTATTGAATGAAAGAAGGCATGGAGAGGTTGGCAGATGATACATGGTTATGTCTGCCTAAGACTTCTTTAGGTTTCTTCCAAATCTAGGTTACAGTGGATAAAACCATCTCCTTCCCAAATTCTTCCACCAACATCTGAGCAGAGGCTAGGGATGGCAATGGCTTCAGGATAAGATGCACATGGAGTCCTTTCCAGTGATAACTTCAAACTTTTTGGTTTCATTTCAGTAACTGAGGAAAAGGCTGTTAAGAGAGGGTATGGCACAGTCATGGGCCATTTTCATATTTTCTGCAAAGCCCTTGTGAGGGTGGTGGAAATTCCATTTGGATTAAAATATAATAGCAACATGGAAGAAGGAGAATTCAGCAATGTGGAAAAGGAGAGAGAATGAAGATTGGCTAAAAACACTTCTTCAAAATTAAAACTTTTTTTTTTTAGTGCCAACTTAATCCTCTTCCCCCATCCCTTCTCCTTTCCCCAATTATCTTTCCAAATTTCCAGTGATATCTGCTGCAGACACAAATACCTTCTATAGATGAAGTCTTTTGCTTGTATTTGAGGGATGGAGCCAAATTCCAAGTTCAACTTGACAAGATGTGGAGGAAGAAGAAAAGACAGAGGAGTAATGTTGTGTGTTTTGCTGAGTGTTGTTCATGAACAGTCCAGAAAATAGTGCCTGGCACAGAGTAGGCATTTTGGTACTTAAATGTTTGTTGAATGAATTTAAAAAGTTCACAAACAACCTGTAAAGTAGAAGCAGGTGCTCAGAACCAGAGAATTCACAAAAATCTTGTGTAGTGGGTTGGGAGGTGTTGAATTTCACAACTCAGGAGTGTCTTCAGTTGATCTTATCCTGATCCTAAGATTCAGGGAGATCAGGCTGGCATAGAGGTTAAATGAAACAGAAGAGGAAGAAATTATAACTTTCATTTAAAAAATGCCTTAAAAAGAAGGACTAGTGCATTCGTGTTTAGTGATATTGACACCAATGCAAATTAGCTTAGTGATGTGATATGGGCAGAGAAGTCACTTTTTGAAGGTTAGTAGAAAAAGTTGAAATTTGCATTGATGTTTTATGTGAAAATATAGTAATTATGTGTTCTGCCCAGAGGAGGATTGGGAGCACTTTCTGATCTTCTGAGTTAAACAATTTCCTAAGCTGCATGAGAACAAAAGGCGAGAGGCGGTGTGGATGAAGACAGAGCTGGAGCAGGTGGCTGCGTATTGGATGTGCTCTCCAGTTCGGAGCTCCCAAGAACCAGACATTTGATGTTTAACAAATGAATATAAGAATTTCTACTTTTGAGGAAATGGCTCAGAATTGTGAACTTTTTGAAAAGCGTCATGGTCCAAAGAAAAGAGATATCCATTGGAGTGACAGTCATGAAAATGATGGCTGAAATGGTATTAAGCACGTTGACAACTCTCAGTCATTCTCACAGACACATCTTTAGAATGGTGATGATCACATCCTAATTTTATAGAAGTATTTGAAACCCAGAGATAGGATTGCCCGAGGACAGGTGCCTAGCAATAGTAGTAATGCTATTTGTAGTATCCATGGGAGATTTGTTTCAGGAACCCCTTGGATACCCAAATCCATGGATGCTTAAGTCCCCTAGGTAAAATGACATAGTATTTGCATATATATAGCTTATGTGCATCCTTCCGTATGCCTTAAAATCATCTGTAGATTACTTATCATAGCTAATATGATGCAACTGCTTTGTATAAAAGTTGTTGTACTGTTTAGGGAATAATTACAAGAAAGCAAAGACTGTATATGTTCAATACAGATGAGATTGTTTTTTCTTGAATATCTTCAATTTGAGCTTGATTGAATCAACGAATGTGGAACCACGGAAAAGAAGGGTGACTGTAATCAGTTATTTAGTATCTAAAATATATCAAGTACTCTGACAAATGCTTTGCATGTATTCCAATATTACCCATAGATATCTCGACAACTCTTCCAGGTGTATGCTTTTCTTTTTTTTTTCAGTACCAGGGATTGAACTCAGGGGCACTTAACCACTGAGCCACATCTCCAGCCTTTTTTTTTTTTTTTTGTATTTTATTTAGAGACAGGATCTCACTGAGTTGCTCAGGGCCTTGTTAAGTTGCTGAGGCTGGCTTTGAACTTGTGATTCTCCAGCCTCAACCCCCTGAGCCCCTGGGATTACAGGCATGTGCCAAAACACCAGTCCATGTGTATATTTTTATTATGACCATTTTATAGACGAAGAAACTGAAACAGGTAAGCAGGGAGCAGGGAATTTGGAAGGGGCAGTCCTTGTTCTTCTCTCTAATGGACATTTTGTCAAATGTATCTCAGAAGAGATAAGAAAAGTAAGCACTTCTGACACTTAACTATTTGTGTGTTTTTTTTTGCAGTTTTTTTTTATATGAAAAATAAGCAGAAGTTTCTGCCAAGCTTACCTTTCCCTTCATCACAGAAACATGATGCCCAGGTGTCCTGCCCGTGGGTCCCAGCCCTGCTCATCCAGTGGCAGCCCATCCTATTTGCAAATTACTCAAGTGGAAACATGTGCCAAACACTGACCCTGTGAACTTGGACACAGAAGCAGTCTGAGTTGCATCAAGTGTGAATCAAGGGTGCCTATGAAGGGTCCCATAATTATCTGCCAAAATGAAGACCCAGTTCCTGACAATCCTGCCTGGGAAATGTTTTCACAGCCTAAAAACTGTTTCTATTTGTTTCATGCATTCTTATCCGTCACGTAGAAAGAGGCAGCTTGCCGTAGTGGTGGAGAGAACTTCAACTTCAGTGTCAAACCCATAATCATGTCCCACCACTGTCCTTCACTGTGGTGTCATTAAAGGAAGTGTCAGAAGCCACTTTGCCCAAGTGCTTTAGGGATTCTACTCGATCTCCCACATGAAGAATCGGGCAGGATGTCTTAGTATTTCACAGACCTTGTCTTTTTCTTTTTACTGGTGACTGCTGTACACAAAAAGAATCCAGAATGTAGAGTTGAGAAGCTACTAGAGCATAGAATGAGATCAAGTCCCGGTGTCTGCGGAATGCACTTCCAAATCCTCAGTTGTCCTTGAAATACAGTGTTCAGTGGGGAATGGAGGACTCTGAAGCAAATTCCAAATGTCGCTTTCATTCCACAGACTCCCCTCCCTGTCCACTACCTGTGGATGTGTCTCATGTACGCTGGCAGCCACCCACCAATGGTGGCAGAGGGCTTATGCAATTTAAAAATGGTGATGGCTTTTATCTTGCCCAAGAGAAAGGACAGATGAAGAAATAAGCAGAGCAGAAAGAAAAGGAAACTAATGTTTCTCAGCTGTCCACAGTGCTCACTCCCTGCCCCTAGCTCTTGCAGTATAAAACTGTGGAGTAGATGTCATTATTCCCATTTCAACAGATGAGAATGGAAAAGCTCAAAAAACCCAATTTTACCTGAATCAGAATTTCTAAGTGAGAGTGCTTAGACTTGAACTTGGGCTCTTTGCTTCTTGATTAAGGGGGAGGTAGAAAGGGAGTTTTACTAATGAAACACTTAAAAAAGCCTCTGTGCCATGGTGGCTCCAGGGCTTTCAGCATAAATATATCCAGTGCTGAGTAGAAGAGAGCAGAGCTTGGGGTCCGATGTGCCTGTGCCCTAATCCCAGCTTCTCACTCTACCCACCCAGTGTGACCTGTGTAGGAGTTTATCCAGAGAGGTTGCTTGGAACTCATGTGCTTTTCTCCAAGCAGGAAACTGACTGCAGTGCAAATTCTGAAGTACCACTAAGTGGAACCCAGGAGGAGAAAAGGGCATGACCAAGTGTGTGGGCTCAGCGTCAGACAGACTTGGCTGCTGACCACAGCACTGAAGAGAGGGAATGAGACAAAGGGGTTAAAAGTACAAACTCCTGCTGGGTACAGTGGTGCATCCCTGTAATCCCAGCGGCTCAGGAGGCTGAGGCAGGAGGATCACAAGTTCAAAGCCAAGCGGGGTGCTAAGCAACTCCGTGAGACCTTGTCTCTAAATAAAATACAAAATTGGGCTGGGGATGTGGCTCAGTGGTCAAGTGCACCTGACTTCAATCCCTGATTACCCTGCCCCTGCCCCCCCCAAAAAAAAAAATACAAACTCTGGGTTCTCGACCCAGCTCAGGCACTTCCTAGTTCTTCCTGCTTCATCTCTGTGTCTCACTTCATCTAAAAAATAGTTGTGATATGAGTGATTGTGACCGAGGTCCTATGGGAATACATGTAAGGTGTTTGTCACAGCACCTGATACAGGTTAGATGCTCACTCTGTGACTACGGTCAATCTGGAGGCAGGCAGGGGAGAGGAACCTTCAAGGCTGAGATCTGGGAGGGATCTCCAGGATGGCTGCCCTCACGGCCTCCCAGTCAGGACCAGGACTCTTTCAGATGGCTTCTTCCTTAGTCCTTTCCTTTCCGGAGGGGCTCTCCTGAGGGCCCCCTCCTTCCTTTCTCAATCTCATTTTGATTTAGCCAGGTTGGGCCTTTTATAAAATAAAATTTGTGTTTAAGCATCCTTCCCTTAGCTGTAACAGAGGATCTGAATCATCCCTTTTTCTGATGCAGAGTTTAAATCCACAGTGTTTCAAAAAAAACATGGTTTTAAGTGAGGAAAGAGCTGAGCATTAACAGGGAACCTTTGTGTGACAGCTCAATGACGTGGTTGACTTAATTTAATCCTCATGAAAAATCTTACAAAATGAAGGTATTATTCTTCCCGAGTTTAATAAAAAGGAGATAGGCTCAGAGAGGTTAAACCATTTGCCCAAGGCCATCAGGAGAATAAATATCTATTCTCTAGACATGCCTTAATAAGCTTTTCATGCCTTCACAAACTTAAGCTCCACGAATATGGAAAGCACATCATTTTTTGTTCAGCACGGTGTCTTGCTCACCTAGAATTTTCTGGCTCTTAGTAGAAGCTTAGAAAATGTTTTTCAATGAACATATTTGCATCTTGCTATATAAATGGCTTTCAAATCTAATAAAATAACAAAAATATACATGTGTATATAATGAATGGAGAAGACAGTGGTAGCATAGTAGTCAAAGTAATCAAAAGTGAATCATAAATTATCAGAAGTGAATATCCTAAGTTCTATTAATCTCTTTAGTAGTAGCTAGGAACACTGACTCCTAATTAGATAATCTTTAATTTCCTTAAGACAGGAAACAAACCAATTGCTCAGGACATGTGTAGCTCTTCTAGAAAGAAATCTGCTCCCCTCATGGAATTCTACCCTAAGAGAGAGTACTGGGTAATATAACAAGGTTCTAAAAATGGCCTTTAATGGAGGCATGGCAATGAATGCATTCTACTGGGCTTTTTCTTACTGTGTTTTTCCACACTCACTAGAGCAAAATACAACAAGCATCCACATGTCCATCACAAAGGGGCTTAAGGAACTCACAGAATGGAGGCTTTTCCTTAAGCTATCCGTCTGCACAAACAATACTCATCTTTCTGATGCTGACAATTCGCATTTGAAAGAAACTGCTAATGCATTCTGTTTGTGATCCGCATGGAGTTCATCTGAAGTTTTTAATATCTACCCCTTCAATCTTTATGTTTAGTTTTCAGTAATTTGTGACCCCCAAATTATCATCACAATAGCAATGAGAATGGAGAGTCATCTGTGATCCCAGGGTCAGAGTGATGACTCAGTCAGCATCCCCCTGGGTGTGCAAGGGAAGGGAGGGATACTGTGACATGTGGAGCATGGCAATGGGAACAAAGTCACTGGATCTCCTTGAGATAGCTACAACCCATCTGGGCCTCTAGACATCCATTTGCATGTACATTCATTCGCAGCCCCTACTACTCCAACTCCTACACCTTTGGCAAGAAATATCCACACAGCTGGATTGGATTCATCGGATGTTTTTATTTTTGCCTCATTAAATTCTAGTTCCCTTCAAGTGATGCCTGTTTTCTTTATACACAAGCCCAGAAATCATTTAACAGGAAGAAGATGTCTCAGAGAAATGGTTCAGGAAAAAGGCGGGGAATGGGGAACAAAATTATGTTGCTTCTGCTTTATGGAGCGTCCACACAATTCTCCCCCTCCACACCCCCCAGTGTATATCCTGTAAAAAGTTCTCTCTGAAGCTAGCTGAACCGCTTTGTAACTGCTGTGATTATGATTTGTTGCCTGTATGATTGCAGATTATAGAGTGGTAAGTCAGCCAGACAGCAAATATTATCAGGCATTGTACCAGGCTGGGGACTAAATGACAGACAGATGTGATCCTCATGGAACTTAGGATGTGGAGATACTACACAAATATTTTCAAGCATGGCAAATGCATGAAGGAGAAGCACATGGTGCTAGGAGAAGAGACAACTGTAGCACATAAGATAAAAACATCCTTGATTCAGATGTACCAGGAAAATATTCCTTCTCTTGATTGTCCGCTGCTACCTTGAAGGTTTGAGAGTTTCCCTGCCTAGAATTAGTTCTCGTATCCTATGTCTGTCTGAAGGACAAAATATTCACTGAAACTATAGTAAGCTGGTGATCAGAAGGCAATTCAATGGATCTAAAAAATCTTCATGATTCATGGAGGAAGATCAGCCTTGACCTTAATGAAAAAGAATTCAACATTCATTTCATAGAAAATAAATTATTTAATTGGGAAATTTAATATATTGGTTATTTGCTTTAATCACTCCGTGAGTCTATTTAAAGACTTCATGTGAATTCTTGATTATTCTAATAAAGGGGGGGCATAAGCATTTATCCAGTGAGATTGGGTTCAAGTTGCTCCAAAGAATACTGGGAGAATCACCATGTATGGATGTGTACCGAGTGCAGGGGTGTTCAATGTGCAGTGCCTGAGTGTGCCGCCCCCCACCCCCCACCCTTTCACAAAAGCCCTGAGTCAGAAACTCTAGGGGTGGAGCTACTGAGCTCTGGCTCAACATACCCTTCAGGTGATTCTGAAAACTGCTGCCACAGTTTGGAATCAGATCTGGATTCAGCTCCCAGTTCTGTCACCTAGTAGCTATATAGGAAAGGCTGAGGGTACAGTGGGCACAGTGCTGTCTAATTCATATGTTTGATGCCAAGATTAAATGAGTAAATGTTTGTAAAGCAGGCACAGTAAATGCTTAGAAAGTGTCTGCTATAATTTTAATGGCACTCTAGCTGTTTTCCATCTATGTGACTGAACTAATGGGAGATATGGACTTTGTGTACTAACAGGATGAAGTGAAGCTGGGTTCATTTCTAATCAGATAAAATGAAGTAGGCAGGTGATATCCAAACCTACTTAGGCACCAGAGATAGCAATGTATTTCAAAGACCTAACAAATACTCAAAATTAAGATCCATAATCATGAGACATCCTTTGTCTGTCACACTGCAGCACGGGACACAGAAGCAGCTGCCAGATGTGGAGGTTCTCAACAGCTTCATTTTTTTTTTTTCTGGTGTGAGTCTGACCCAAGCCATATTGGTGACCTCTGAGATGAGGTCTTCCTTGTTGCCTTGCCAGTGCGGCTGATACTTGTCTCTTTGGAACTCTCCATCTGAGCCTCCCTAAGGCACTTGATCATTTCTACCTCATAGCATGATGTTTATGAGCTCACCCTCACTCCCCACCTAGACGTCACTTTCTTGAGACACAGCCCAAATCCGAGTCATTCTTCTATTAGATGCTGTGATCACTGCATAAGCCCTGGGGTAGGATGGATGTTTTAGAATGAAGAAATGAGTTAATGAACGTTTTCCAATCTGAGGGCAAAGCTGAAATACCGCACTTATTATTTTTAACCACAGTAGACCGCATTAATGTAGGAAGGGAGGCAAGCTGTCTAATCTTCTCCAAGGTGCAATTTGATCCTTATCATC